TATATATATATAAATCTTTTTATAAGGCTACTCTGCTCTTTTATCAAATATCATTGCAGTTATTATGCATTCTATCTAAACTATAATAGATTTTACAATTTCCTTTATAAATGAAGTAATATCTTTAAATTAAAACAGAAATTTCCGATAAAAGCGGATCAACCTTGTAAAGGCCCTCCACCACTCCCGTTTTTTTCGGCGGACCTTTTTTTCTTCAGTCTCGAAATACAATAGGTGTAGTAAATCTTAAGTCTTAAGAAATTGACCGATCATAGTCGAATATTCTTTTCAACTACAATTAATTAAAATTTAAGACTTATTTCACCTATGTTTTTATACAGGATTTACATAACATACTGTAAAATGAGATAGGCTTAAAACGAGATAACGTTGACACAAATTTTAACAATAATCAAACAACACATGTCAAAATCTAGAAATAAAGTTTGAAAATCGTCTTAAAGACGTTCTGATTTTAAATATGCGCATCATCAAGGCGTTTTTCAAAATTTAAGTGACTTTATCACCGCGTTCAATAGAGGATAATCTAACAATTCGACTAGATCAAGTCTTTCCGCCGAGTGATTCATTGAGTAGTCCGACACAAAGAAGAACGATCTACATGTTAGAGAACAAGCTGTGCTCTACTTCTGTCGAGTTCCATGGGATTAATCCGCAAAGGAAAGTTAAGTGATCTGATGAACATCAAGAACTCCACTACAGAAGGAAATAAATCCCGGATTTTCTGAATTGCTCCCGATAGCAGCTATTTCAGTAGTGAGTTAACAACTGTCACTTTTTCTAAATCTTTGCATAATGCAAGTGTAATGCAATTTTCAAATATTTCAATGGTAATTTAATTGATATTCATCTCAGTTCTTTAATACGTGCGATCAAGATTCGCGAGAAAATATATCTTTCACTATTACAAATATATATTTTTATTATCAAAGGATACGGATAGAATGATTTCTACTAAAAAGTGGTTACAAATGATTATACTTTAAAATAATAAAATACATACGTTTTTATTATAATTTATTAAATGTGTGAGTACAAAAATTCTCAGGTACCAACTGTTCGAGGCGAATCGAACCGATAACAATAACATTTCAATTAATTTCATAATCAAATATTTAATGAATAAGATTCACATCGTTTTCTATTCTTCTATAATTTCATTAAATGTAATTCAATAATTAAATAAATTATCTAATAAATTATTTATATTAAATGTAATATTTAAATAATTAAAGTTATCAAAATCTTACTGATATCGGGATATCCAATCGATTCGTCTCGAATTTAATAAGTGCCCACACATTTTTAATTATGTTCATCATCATAATTAATTCAAATAAGTATAAATCTCTTTGATACAATTTTATCAAGTAAATAAAAGCTAAAAATTTCTTATATAATGTATACACTGCGTATATATTTTATTATATAAAACAATTAAAAATATTTAAAATATAATTATGTGTGTGTTATAACAAATGTTCTGGAATATTTAAAAATTAATTAATGTTCATTAGATTGTTGTTGATTAGAGGGATGACCAGTGCCTGAAAATAGTTTCTTAAAAGAAACTAAAGATTAAAATAAAAGATATATTCATTTGTAACAATATTTTTCTCAAAGAAGTCGTGACCAAATTGTGATTTATTCACAACTGAGTGTAATTCAGTCTTTATAAACAACTGCTATCAGCTACATCAATCTGCTAAGCCTTTTTAATCAAAACAGCATTAATATTAATTAATGAAAGAATATTTAAAGAGAAGAACTCTTCTCTCAGAATATATTATTTAAACGACTTCGCGATTCAACTTAAAAAAAATTAATTAATTTACATCGTTGTCATTGTTATTTCTTTCTGAAATCACTGCTTCCAAGGACTGTAAAGAAAATCAATTTCAGTCCTGTAACGGAAATCCCCAGATTCATCGAGACACCGAAGTAGATTTCGGACAGATCCTAAGGAAACTGACGGAAAATAACTTTCCACATTGAATCACTACGACTGTCCATCGGTATGAATCACAATATTTATTAACGTCCATTTGACGCAAGAGATAATATAGCAACGAAGTCCCATTGTTGAGGCAGAAATGACACATATAAACATCAAAATAACGCGTCTAATTATTTTTTAATAATTTAATATATTTAATACGAAACATAATTTAAAAATTCGTTTAATAAATATTTAATTATATACTTTGTAAATATGTTTTATCGTAAGAGCGAGATAAAATAAGACGTTTCGCAAATTCTATAGTCAGTTATAATATAAAATTTACAATTTCGCAAAAATATATTAAATTTACTTGTCACTTTGTAACATCTAAGATACTAGTGTTAAATTAAGCAAATAAACAAATCACTTTGAACCTTATACATGGTCAATAACTATTTACCTTATTCCTTATATTGTATTCCTTCTTCTTTCTTCGGACCAGATTGAACTTATCTTGGTTAAACCTGACTGTACTTTGATTGTATTTTAACTAGAAATCAATAAGGAGAAAAACTTCTCCTACAGTCGGTTTATTATCATCGTCGACAATATTTCGTTTGATTCGAATTAATATGCAAGTCGATCGTATAGAAAAATAGAGATCATATCGAAAAATGAGATAAAGAAAAATAACATTCAAAAAAATTAATACAAATTATAAAAATTGCACAAAATGTCTCCGACGCATTATTTAAATTTGGAATTATATTTAAGTTTAGAAAAAATATATTTATTGCATTCTACTTACATGTTCTCGTTCTGATCAAAAGGTTTCAATATATATGTATATACAGGATGTCTCGTAAGTTTTGACCAATCGCTTTTATATAAAAGAGCAGACTAAACTGAGTCGAAAAGTCCTGTACCACATTTTGCAATTTTCGCAACAATTAACGAGATATTAATTACTAAAAATCGTTAAATATTGATCTTTATTAATTTTTTACTCAAATGTTAATAACTTTATAGAAAAATAGCAAGAGATAAAAATTGTTTATTTTCTTCTTATAAAGTTCTGAGAAGTTTTTCAGAATTTTTTAATACTCATGATGTTAAAAATAAGAAAATGCAGTATTAAAAAGTTGATAAAAAATTCTGAAAAAAAAATTCTTAGAGTTCTATGAGAAGAAAATAAACGATTTTTGCCTCTTGCAAATTTTCTGTGAAGTTGATAATATTTAAGTGAAAAATTATTGAAGAACAATATTTAGAGACTTTTAGTAATTAATATCTCGTTAACCATTGCGAAAATTGCAAAATAGTAAAGAACTTTTCGACTCAGTTTAGTCATTTAGTTTTCCGTCCTATCTACACAAAAGCGATTGGTCAAAACTTATGGGAAAACGTACACCCTGTTTATAGAGATTAAATATTATATACAATAGAAATTTTAATTTTTTGCAATGTGTTATATGTGTTACTAGAAAAAATTTAAATTTATAAAATTAATAAAATTCTAAGCAAAAAAAATAATATATAGTAAAATAATGGACGAATTTCGACGCAAAATCGATCGCATGCAATATAAAAATACATGATAATATCATTCGCATTTTCAAAGCGCATTAAATAAAACATATAAAATTAATGACATGTTTGAATTTGACATCCCTCGTGCGTTAATCGTGATTAATTCGGCTTATCGGCTTGTTAGACGCTAGTCTTACGAGACAAGCTCGACCGGTAAACGTGACGGGAATTGGGTACGTATTGCAAGGATCTCACATATTGGACCGTATCTCGTAAGCAAATTTCGATTTAAACCCGAAAAGAATCCTCGAAAAAATCGCCTTGTCTTTTGCACGTACCGTAAAAGAGCTGCAATAGAAAAATTAAATAATCAAGAAAGAGTTAGCGAAAAGTTGTAGAAAAGAACCAACATATATTATTAAAAACAACGCAAAAAAGTTTTAGTAACATATTAAAATTTTGAGTGCAAATTCAAGCCAACAAAAAATAAATTAGTATTGGAAAAAAGAATGCAGTTACGAAAAAGGCGAACAAATAAAAATACTGATTAAAGTATAAGTTTTAATTATTTTATTAAAATTTTATTTAATTATTTTATTTAAAAAGTTTTGCAAGTGTTGAACGTATTTCACTATAAATGTTAGAGATAATATTAAAAAATTATAACAATTATCTGGAATAGGATTAGTTTAAAAAAATTGTAAGCAAATTTCAAAATTCCTTTTGAACATTTTCCTCTGACTTTTCCCAGTTTTCTATAACCAATTTCAATTTTCCTGATTTTTGCCAGTTTTCTAGATCTATAGCAACTCTATAAAATTATTCGGGTACCTTAAAAAAGTCAAGTCCTTCACTCGCCATTATAAGCCTCTGAACTTAATGAGAAATGATAATGGAATCGATATCGATTCGACGTCAAAAGCATCAAATTGACGTCGAATCGACGTCGATTCAACATCGATTGTCATTTCTCACTGAAAAAAAAGCAAGTGATAAATTTAAAAAAACATGTTATATGTACTTCAGTACATTATATATACTTTAGTAAGTTGTATTATAGTTTTTAATTTTTCTTTCAACTACAAAGTAGATCTATGGTATATGTATTCGAAATTTTCTCTGTAATTTGCTTAATTTAATTTCCGTCGGTTTATTATAATGTCCGGGAATATTTCTTAATGATATTTCTCTTAATCGCGTATCAAATAAGAAATTAAAAATATTAATATAAAATCGAAAAAGTTATAAGAAATTTTAATAAAAATTAATAGATATTGATATATTATGATATTTTATTGTTTAATATATACCAATACTTATGGTTTCATTTTTTGATGGATGTGTTTTTAATTTATTGAAAATCAACAATAGTTTTCTATAATGTTAAGAGTACATATTTTTAGTCTTTATTTTGTATCTGTTAAAATTATTTCTTTTGAATAAGCAATAATTTTTATTTCCCGTTTTCTTTTTATGTTCATATCTGTACAAGTAGCTTTAAGCACAGTAGCACAGTACACGAAAAAATCGGTTTTGATGAAATATCTAAGAATTAAACTAAATACAAGTCTGAAAATAATTTTATTGAAATATCAGAATAATTATATAGAATGCTCTAGATGATTTATATCTAATATACCTTTATATCTAATATACATTTATTAGTTTTGTTCATTATGTTTGAATTTCCTACATAATTAATTATTTTGATCGTGAAATAAAATTATTTTCAGGTCTGTAAATATCTAATTAAATTTTTGAATATTTCAACAAAATCATTTTTGCATATCAAAGACACAAATATTAAAAAAAGATCCAAGATTAAATATCTATCATAATGTTTCATAACTCATTCAATTAAGGCAATAGATCTATGAAGTTTTGTATATTCACTTGTAGTATATTACAACAACGTCGATATATAAATATATATCTGACATAAATGTATAAATATATCTGACTTAATTATAAATGTATATCTGACATAATTTTCACAAATTCATTATTTCATTCATAAAGTGTTTTACTACTCACCGATCGATGCGCAAGAATGGAATTATCGGCCATGTAATTACAATGATTCTGTAACAAACAAACAAACTACAAATTAAAATAACGCTCAAAATAATTAATTATTTAAAAATTTTAAGATACTTTTTATACACGCATAGAATTTTTTAATCACTTTTCAATTAATTATGTATTAAAATAATTGTACATTATTAAAAAAATATCTTTACAAAAATAAACTTTTTTATTGTTTCAGATTAATTATTTTCTCTAATTATTATTTTTAAATCATCGAATTCAAATAATCCGAATAAATAGGAAAAAAAGGTTAATTTAATAAAGCAATAATCCTTACAGCAAAGTTCTCGGCGTGCGATGCATCTCCTAAGCTTCCTCCTTTTCTCAGATTATCAAATTATTTTCTTTACTTCTTCACAAGTTATCAAATCTCTATCAACGCTTGCACGATATACAACATCGAAGAGTGTAATGCAATAATAAAATTTTAAATTTATGTACGAAAGTAATCTTATATGTGATTTTAATTTATATAAAATTTAATAAAAAATGAATCTTATATGAATTATAAATATTTATAATATTTTGAAATATTTTATACATATTTGTTCATATTTAATTATAAATATTTTGCTAAATATTTCAAGATCTTAAAATATAATATAAAAATTTTATTTATTAAATAGTATTATATGCAGTACTTAATATATTACATAAATTTAAAATATTGTATTACACTAGACATATAAATAATTATTTCCATTGCAGTAGCAAATAATAAAATAGTAAAATGTTTACCTATCCATCATCTTTGATTATCGCTTAGGCTTCTATTTCCTTTGTTCTTTCATTTATTATTATTTCTTCGCGCTGTAACATCTGTTTTGGAAAAACAAGTAAATTATTAGTTACAATTAAGCAATTATACAATTAGTCATTAGAATAATAACATATTACATATATCTTCACGTAGTCAATTTCATGCCAATAGCGACTATATGTGTCAACCGAATAAGTATTTTGTACAATACGCTTTCAACCGAATTATCAATATCAATACCGAAATTTATATTATGCGATATTTAAATATTATAGGAAATGAATATAAATAAGTTAGATGCAAGTTTCGTTTACTTACTAAAACGACGCTACTTGATCCACAATCATTTAGCTGTCCTACTCCCGCAGCGATCTGCAAACAAAACATAAATTAACATAGCATCATAGTGAAGTGACTTCATCTCTCATACGCGGTTAACTTCAAGTGCTAAAAGTGACGACGCGTCGCCGCGCCGGTAACGCAGCGCGGCGACGCAACGACGCGACACTGCGCGACACTACGTCGTGGTCTTAATTTCGCGTTTATGCACTTTTCAGCTACAAATATTGTATATACTACAAATAAATACTACACGCGGACATTACATTATAATAGAATAGACACATTAATATTATAATTAAATTCCCACGACTCGTAATGTCATCGTTGCAATTATTCGCGCGATATATATTTTTGGCTTTTTGTCGGCAGAATACACTACAAGTATTATGAGATACGCATTTTAATGAATTATTAAAATCTAATATACAAGAACCAAATCGATGTTTGTGTCAATTGAATGTTCCAATAAATGGAAAGTATAAAGTTAATATAAGTTTCTTTACCAATTGAAAAGTGTCGTTCCGGAGCCGTCGGTCCGTCGCGACGTCAGTCCTGTGTCCGCCGCGGTTTGCAAATGAAGCATAAAATGAGATCAAGACAGCGAAGCAGTTCCACGTCTCTCGCGTGCGGTAAACTTCACGCGTTAAAAGTGACGCGTCGCATTATTCTTGATTTTCGGCCGAATGAGTTTTGCGAAATACGCATTCGGTCAAATTATCAATGTATGTAAATACTATATGTATGTAAATACTGTATATATGTATTAGGTGTATAACTTGGCTTCCGCCGTTTTCCTTAGATGGCTTTAGTGGTAAGTAGTGGTCAAAATAAATAGATCATAGACGTCATACAATTTGAGCATCTGTCAACATAAGAAAGGTAAGTCGTCCCCCATTGAAATGTTAGACCATTTGTGTCTGCATCATAAAGTTATTCTCGATTGAAAATGTCAGTATACGAGTCAAATTCTCGTCATTTGCGGGAGGTTTTAATTTTCTGTTTCAATATGAAGAAATCTATTGAGGCTCATCGAAAGCTCTCAAATACTTATGGTGAGGCCGCTATTAGTGAAAGGACATGTCGTGAGTGGTTTCAACGCTTCAAGAACAATGATTTTGACGTCGAAGACCGGCATAGCGGTGGAAGAGAGAAGATTTTCGAAGATGCAGAATTGAAGGCACTAACTGATCAAGACTCGTGTCAAAATCAAGAAGAAATGACACGATTATTGGGAGTGACTCAACAAGCTATTTCAATACGCCTCAAAGACATGGTAATAATTCAGAAGCAAGGAAATTGGATGCCGTACGAGTTGAAGCCGAGAGATGTTGAACGGAATTGTTTGCTTCTGAACAGCTACTTGAAAGGCAAAGACGGAAGGGATTTCTGCATTGTGACTGGGGACGAAAAATGGGTTCATTACGATAATCCCAAGCGCAGAAAAACATGGGGAGTCGCCGGCCATGCTTCCACATCGACGGCCAAAACGAATATTCACGGTTCCAAGTCATGCTCTGTATTTTTTGGGACCAGCTCGGCGTAATGTATTATGAGCTATTAAAATTGACAATCACAGGCGATTAATATCGAACGCAATTGATGCGTTTGAGCCGAGCATTGAAAGATAATCGCAATCCAACGAAAGACACGATAAAGTGATTTTGCGGCATGACAATGCTCGAACCCATGTTGCGAAAGTAGTCAAGACATATTTGGGAACGTTGAAATGGGAAGTCTTACCCCGCCCACCGTATTCTCCAGACGTTGCTCTGACTATCACTTGTTTCGATCAATGGCACACGGCCTGGCTGATCAGCACTTCCGGTCTTATGAAGAAGTAAAAAATTGGATCGATTCGTGGATCGCCTCAAAAGATGACCTGTTTTTTCGACGCGGGATTCGTACCCTGCCCGAAAAATGGGAGAAAGTAGTGGCCAGCGACAATACTTTGAATCATAAATGTATAACCAGTTTTTTACAAGCCTCCAATTTCGGAAAAAAAAAGGCGTTAGCGAAGTTGTACACATAATATGCACACACACACACATATACATAATGAAAATATTGTATTTTTTAGAATATATAAGATATTAAAAAACCATTCGAGAGCATCAATAGTTCTTAAAGCAAATAATTTAATAATTTGAATATACAATAATAATTAAATATCTCGACAAATTCCGATGATCCTTTCAAGTCATTTTCCATTAATTAACTAATCTAATTTTGTTTCGTTTTTCAATAGGAATTAAATAATTCCGTATTGATAAAAGAATCATACGAAACGAAGGTTGCGTTACTCCGCGCAACGTGAGGTTCCGCAGTCAGTGAAATGTTGCAATGCAAAAGTGCGAAACGAAAGTACGACTATTAATTTATACTACCTCGTAAGCCTTTATCCCCACCACTCGCATACCGACCAATGAGCACGGTATCTCACTACGCTTATTCTATCTAAACGCTCATTTGTGACCACTAGCTTTCCAATAAGATATATAAAGAACCGTTGCGCTGGAAAAAAGCTCATTTCTTCTTGAAAACTCGGATCGTTCGTCGTCGTAGACAAAAAATATCGATAAGACATTGATTAAATGTCGATGTTTAGCAGTCAGCTTACACATATATGAATGATTTTAGAAAATATAAGAGGATATCAAGTCTTACAATTAATCATGTTACCATCAGAAATATTCGTGCACATAATTACATAGTTCATGTCCATATTTTGTAGAGGCGCTAATAGACGAAAACCAAACGAGGGCATATTTCTTTCAGGCTTATTGTGTTCTAAGTAGTTAGATATTAAACTTATCACGACAACATCGTTTATTTACGGATAAATGAAACGAAAAACCAGTTCTTTTTCGCATATACAAATTGATACCAGAAATTGAACGATATTATATCGGCATTTTTGAATCTTTACAAGTTATTCGTAATCGTCTTTAGTTAACAGGTTTGAACAGCCAACCACACAGTGGCAACTCGACACACGTCAAACTGCCTTCGAGAGTGTACTCTCTACATGCAATATTTTATGCTGCAACAGGTGTTCTATTGACATATGTAGAGATATTCAATCTTAGCCAAATGAACTTGTTGAGACGTGGTGATGCTTATATCACGATAATTCTTGAAAGCTACCTTTAGATACATTATTATATCTTGATAATTATTTCTCCTCTTCAATTTTGAATCGATCATCAAGTATGAATAGACATACAGATTCTGTCAGTGCAAATGCACAGTGTACTCCATCAAATTCGAAAGACGAGAAAAATAATGTTTTAGCTGCTTATCATTCTCTGATATTTTCAAAAAAAGACAAGGACTGTTTCGATGTCGCAGATATTGAACGCAAGTCTCTTGCTGTGAAGTATATGACAACAAAATTGTCGTAAGTAAAATACATTCATACATGCATATTTTTCTGTTATGTTAAATTTATCATACATTTTTATCTTTTTATTATTGTACAGCGATTCAGAAGATATGAAAGCTGTACTGCTTCGAAAGAGTCTTAAAGATTATCACAGCCTGATAAAGGATAAGAACGGAGTAAACAATTACTGGAAACAAATTAAATCTCAAATATTGGACCCAAAAAATGATCCATTAAAGTGGAAGTCAGAATTAGAAGATGTGGACGCTACATTGAATTTTATAAAACCTTTGACTTGTCAGAAGCTCAGTACTCTACCTTGTAAAGAAAGATCTTACAATGATAGGGATATAGAGAAACTAATGAATAACTCAAAGAAGAAAGACATAGAAAGAAATAGAAAAATCTGTTCGCAGTTACAAGCAGCTTCTAGTCAGAATTCAAGTCAAAAACTTTCATTGAAGTCTAATAACACACACAGTGAACAAAATATATCTACATATTTCACAAACATTCCTAGAAATTTTAATAAGCATGTAAGTTCCGCCAAACAGAATGTTTCCAAAGTACAAACAAATGGTCAATCTTCTTATCAGAATTTGGATAGATTTGTGCAAAAAGTGTCTCCTAAGTTAAGCAATAATAATATGAATGATAAAAGCTCGTACAGACCAATAAATCCTCATGTACTACAATTAAAACCAACTGCTCCTCCACAGACTATCAGTGAAAGCGCCAATATGCAAAAAATCGATTTTGATTCCTCTAGAAGCGCCAATTACGACGAATTATACATCCAAGAGATGAAGAAGAACAAGTCTGTGCCAAAGAAGGGCGGCCGAAGGATGGCTAATTCTCAATTCGTCTGTCCTTTCAAATGCGATAAGGAAGAGTCGGCGCAAAATTACAATACGCTACAAGGTAAATCGAACGAAGAAGTAGAGGATAAAAGGCTGAAGAACATTGATCCAAATATGATCGAGTTGATAAAAAATGAGATCATGGATTCAAGTAAAATGATAACGTGGGACGACATCGCAGGACTCGAGTAC